TTAACTAATATTTATTAATATTAGTAATATTTAAACTTTATTAATATTTATTTATAATTAATAGTAATAAAATTATAATTGATATTAATGAAGATTATAATTGAAAAAAAATGACAACAAGATACCAAAACGCTACTCCAAATAGCGTTTCAATAAATTAGCTTATAAATTACTTTATACACATTTAAACATATACCTTATACATGTGTATATATATATATTGAAATCAAAGAGAGGAGTAATCAAAATATAATACCACAACTACTTTGGTTACCTTCAGTTGTTATCAAGAAATGGTAAAACATGCTTCCATTTGAAATCTATGTCAGATTTACGATACTCATTTTTATTTTGTTTGTAGGATTTTCGAATGGTGGTGTTTTTAAGCATTTTCTGCATTTCATTTGGTCTGAAAACCGCAAATGCAACCAGTTTTGACGTAACATTGTACGGTGCAAAGGGTGACGGGAAGACAGACGATTCCGATGTAAGTAAATCATGATGACAAGTTTTGAAAGAACGAGTATAAATCTAACTCATAAATTGACAAACTGTTTTAATCATTTTGCTTAAATATAACATGTGTTTATTCGTTCTATCATTCAGAGACATATTTTATTAGTAATAGTGAATAATAGTTGATTGATTTTAATATATACAATTTAATATAATTTTTTTCGACTATACCTTTTTGGAAAAATTGCAAAAATGTTGATTTAATAATTTCTTAAATCTAAACTTATTTAATCGCAATGGAGGGTGACAAAGGACGTGCTCGTACGATCCATTTCTGAACCGTGCGGGAGGGTTTGCCATCACATTATTTGTTGATTTTATTTTTAATATATCTATTAATACAAACTTGTTATATATAATATGCTTTTTTTAATTAATTTTTTTTATCATTAATGGTTTTAATATTTTAGTTTTTATATTAAAATTTTCATTAATTTAAAATAAAGTAATATATATGATCTAGAAATGTGATAGTTCGTTTCAAATGCAATCCATCACATTTGTACAATCAATACAATCCAATAAATTGAGATATTTATGTAAATGATGAGAGTTCATTTATTATGATTCAAATATTTATGGAAGACAAATAGGGTTCATTGATTATGATTAATATTTTATATTAGGAAACAATCAAAACTTATATGAAATTACATATTCATCAAATTAAATGGACGATTGAGATTAAATTGTATTGGTCGTACAAATGTAACATGTTATATAATAACTCACCCCCTCTCTCTCTCTCTCTCTCTCTCTCTCTCTATATATATATATATATATATATATATTACTTTATTTGCTCAACTTTTGATTTATTACATAATATATGATTATAATTAAAAAAATTAAAATACCAAATTACAAAAAATAATAAAAAATTTAAAACAACTTAAATTGGATATCATGTGATATTTATCTACAAATTTAGCTTCAAAATATCTATTAATTATAATTTTCAAGAATAACCGAATTAGGTGTTTTAATCGTCAATGCAGGCTTTTGTTAACGCATGGACGGATTTATGTAAAGAAAATTCAGACCCGACACTGATCATACCATCAGGAAAGACGTTTTTAACAAGTTGTGTGTCATTTATAGGTCCATGTAGCTCTTCTAGAGTTTATATTAAGGTAAAACCATACTTAAATCGATCAAAATAATTTTGCAATTTCTATTTTGGCTAATGTCTAATCATGTTTAACATTTAATTAAACGTGATTAAAGTTTTCAACTATGACGGTTTGTCAATTGATTTGATAATTTTATATGGTTTTGGTTCATAGCTTTTGGGCAACATTACTGCACCCAAGACTATCGAAGGATGGAAAGGTTGTGATACGAGCGGCCAGCTGTTACTTTTTGGATCGGTACAAGGACTCACCGCATATGGACCTGGCCAATTTGATGGCTATGGTTCCATCTGGTGGCCGAGAAGTGCACGCGTTAAGTTTCTCGATCACCTAAACGTTAATTATCCTTTTTCTTTTTAGTAATTGATTGGTTATTTAATATGTAGTATTTGTTTTGCATTATTGTTTCTGCAGTTGGATGGTCCGTCCTGTAATTGCCCATCGGTACAAATGATCTGCCATTTACGTTAAGGATTAGAACAAAGCAAATATGGCTAGAACTTACTTTTGAATGAGATATACTGAGTTCGTTTCTTTTGGTTTTGATGTTTTGATAACATTAATATGAACACCAACTTTTTTTTTTGTAGATGTTACGTTTTCAGAACTGTAACGGGCTTCGACTGAGTGGTACAACACATATAAACAGTCCAAAGAGCCATATTCACATCAATGGTTGTCAAGATGTACAAATTGGAAATCTTCGAATTTTAGCACCTGAAGACAGTGCGAATACTGATGGAATCGACATCAGTCAATCGTCACATGTTCTTATATATCACTCTATAATTGGAACCGGTAATTAAGACATGCCTTCAGAAACTGAATTTATTTTTTATGACACCGAACCAATTAAGCAACCCTAGTGGATCCAAGACATACACAATCTTTCTATCCGAATAGATGAAGAGGCTGTTTTCGTGATATGATCGACAAACATTTTGATGTACTTGTTTTTTGTTCTGGAAATAAAACAGGTGATGATTGTGTAGCTATTGGCGATGGCACTTACGATATCCATGTGAACGGGATCTCTTGTGGGCCTGGTCATGGCATAAGGTACAATCCCTTACGATTATTTTTCTTCAAAAATATCTTTCCTATCGATCATTTATCCCTCACTCAACTGATGTGGTTTGGCAGCGTCGGAAGCCTTGGGAGGGACGGTAGTTTTGCGGCGGTGGAACAAGTATATGTAAAAAATTGTAGCATCTATGGAACGCAAAACGGGTTACGAATCAAGACTGTGCCCGTAAGATTATTTATCATAAAACTTAACTTCAATCTTTGAACGTTTATTACAATTTTCTAACAGTCTGTGTTATGACCGCAGTTTGGAAAAGGGTATGCTCGGGGGATCATATATGAGGACATTCGTCTCCACAATGTTGGAAATCCAATTATAATCGATCAACATTACTGCCTTAACACAGAGAATCATTATTGCCCTGCACCAGTAAGCGCAATTTGCATTCTCATTGTTTATCAAGAACATATTTTGTGTATTTTAGTAACTAAAACTTGGATTTTGATCAGTCAAAGGCAGATGCAGTACAAGTGAGCAATGTAACGTATATAAACATAAATGGGACTTCGGCGACGAAACAAGCAATTACTTTTGATTGTAGCGAGAAGGTTAAGTGTACTGAGATCAACACCAACAGAGTCCGAATCACTGGAGAAGATGTTGTTGCTTACTGCAAAAATACTCAAGGAAATTTTATCAAAACGACCCCTTATATTGCTTGCAATTAGCTTGTACGTGTACCCATCCTCCATTGGAGATCGATAATAAGTCTGATTGTTTTGCATTCTTGATAGATAACAAAGCTAAATTGTTTTTTAAGCATCTCTCTCAAACGACTTTAGCAAATTACGAACATATACACAAATAAAAGGATCCAGATATATGCACAAATCCAAACATCGCAAAATTTTAAAACCATCTAAACTACCATACGATTAATCCGCCAGAAATAAAATGATAAGTTGTTTGGAAATAAATCAATACCAATCTAATAACAATATCAGTTATCCAACTTCTACACGCACCAATCCTTGGATGTTCACTTTTTTGTACCACTACTTCCGTTCAAATACCAGTACGAGTCGAAAAGTTTTTAAAAGAATTTTAATCAGGCTTAAACGTCTAGTGAGTTTACGGTTTTTCAAACAAGTATTATGTAACATCCCGTCCCACATCGGTTGGTGAGGAGAACTAAGCACTCCTTATAAGGGTGTGGATACCTCATCCTAGCATGACCGGTTTTGGGGCTTGCGTTGTGCGGCTGCCAGAAACAAAACCGTGCGACTACTGCTTTGTGGTATAGCGGGCAGGTTAGTCAAATCGGACAATATCATTGCTACGGGGTTCTGGGGGCGTTACATATTATTTCAATAACTTTCATAACTCATCATAAACTCTCATATGAGAGATATTATTCACATTTCACAAGTCACGTTTATCTACGTTGACTACGCACAATGATTGTCTTAATTTCACAATCTATGTTGGTCGGCTAACTTGTTTGCTTTTACACTTCTTGTTTGGCAGACTCACTTGTTTGCTTTTACGACATCATTATATGGACCATGAGAGTCCCATGACCCCACACTCCTCTACGAGCCGACGACACCTACACATTTTTAAAACATATAACACATAATTGTAGTTTAACATAGAGTTGATCATTTGTGGGCTTGGGTCTGGTCCAGATCGGATCTCACCTAATTTTCTTGTCGAACAGGCTTAATATAACAAACTCAAACACTTTTTCACGGGCATGAAATTTTTCCCATACCCGCCTATAAACCGGATCGCGTATGCCCAGAGGCTAACAAACCTACAAATCTTTTTATACTTTTAAGAAAACAAAACGTATATAAAATCACAAGTTATGTAAAATAATTCAAAATATATAACAAATTTTTTAACTTAATATCAGACATAAATATATAACAATGTACATAATTTAGAAAAAATGGTTTCACAAAATATGCAAATGAGATAATAAAGGATTGAATAATTGTGATAATTATGTTTTTGGTTTTTGTTATATTACTCATTGTGACTGTGGTTGTCAATTGTTATTGCAGTGATATCTAGGGCTGTAAACGAACCGAACGAACATGAACGGAGGTTTGTTTATGTTCGTTCGTTTAACTTAACTGAACAAACGAACGAACACGAACGATAAACGAACGAAAATCTTTGTGTTCGTGTTCGTTCGTTTAGAAATAAGGTGTGTTCATGTTCGTTTATGTTCGTTCATAAACATGCTAAACGAACGTAAACGAACGGGCTAAACGAACATAAATAAATATTATTTGAATTCAAAGTAAATAAATAAAAGATAATATATTAAACTTAATATAAAATGAACATAAACAAACAAATATAAACGAACGTAAATGAACGGTAAATGAACGAATGTTCACGAACATAAATGAACGAACGAGACTCTTGTTCATGTTCGTTCGTTTAACTAAACGAACAAAAACAATAGTTCATGTTCGTTCATTTATTAAATAAACGAACATAAACGAACTTCCCGCCGAACGGTTCACGAACGGTTCGCTGAACGTTCGGTTCGTTTACAACCCTAGTGATATCATTGAAATGGCAAGCTACAGCGGTTACCAAGATTAGGGAACCGCACTCATGTTCTGACAGTGAAAGTCTCTTGTTTTATAGTGAAAACTAGGTTTACAGACGAACCAAACAAACAAGAATGGGATCTTGTTTATGTTCGTTCGTTTAAGTTAACCGCATGAACACGAACATTAAACGAACCAAATTTTAGGTGTTCGTGTTCGTTCATTTAGAAAGTAGGCATGCATGTTCGTGTTCGTTCCTTAAGATATTAAGTGGACGTAGACGAACATAACCGAACGAACATAAATGAAAAGACTTAAATGAACATAACCGAACAATTTTAAACGAACATAAATACAGTAATGGACTAAGTTTAAATAAAGGACCACATTGGATTAACCCAAAAATGTTTTTTAACTCTTTCATTCTTTATGAGCCAAGTTTGAAGATTTAAAATTTCCTTATATGTAATAAAAGTTTATATAAATATATTTATATATTAAACGAACATAAATAAACAAAAAACATTGACGAACATAAATGAGTGAACATTCACAAACGTAAATGAACGAACGAGGTCTTTGTTCATGTTAACATCACTGGTTTTTTAGTTTGGTGCATTGTTGCATGGGCTCCCTTTTTATTGTATTTTTGTTCAAATATAAAAAATAGTGAAAAATATTTTATAATAAGAAAATGTCTAGAAATTATTAATTTCAATTAATTAATTATAACGAAATTGTGTAAATTTTATTTTGACCAACTGAAATGGGAAATTTCTTTTAAGAAAAAAAAAGTGTGTATTTATTATGGATGTAAGAGATTATATCTATTAAACAATTTAAAGATACTAACAATACATCGAGATTGATCTCGAGTTTTTTTTTATTTTGTCTCGATCAATGTTATAAAAAATTGAAAAAAAAAATATTGATATTAGTACAAAAAATGACTTAATTTCTCTTTTTTTGTGTATTTTTTAATTCGTTTTTTTGTTTAATAATATAATTTTTTATCAAGATAATAGTTAAGTATTTTGTTAGAACTTAATGATTATTATAATTATATTTTTTTAAATGAGATGTTTATCCTCTATTTGATTATGTTTATCTACGGTTAGTTACACGAATTCGTCAAACATGAAGCTCTAATAAGTTAACTTACGCAAACTTTACTTGTAATCTTGATTTTTAAGTAATATGCATCAATAAACAGAACTTCATGCATAAAAAATGGTTTTTAAGAGTTTTTATCAAATACTTTATACTATAATATAGATTATAGATGAAGTCAAATATTATATTTATTTCGTGATATAAGAAATAGTAAACAACGAAAATGATGGTCAAATGATGCAGTTCATTTGAAATATATAATCTTAATCTTCACACATAATCTACACGTGCACACACACACAATCTTATATCTATCTATATATATATATATATATATATATATATATATATATATATATATATATATAAACATCACAATCTAACACAAGACTACAAGAGTTATCAGCTTCCAAAATCGTTTTCATAGGAATGGTAAGATGACCAGATTCATACATGCATGATGCATGGTATTAAAAGGGTATTTTTTACCATAAGTTTTGGGTCGGGGCCCCACTTACCCTCTTCTATGACAGGGAAGAGATACCACAAACCCTTTTCCATAACATATGTCAATTTCACTGCACTTACCGTTGTTGTTCACCTTCTCTTTGCAGGATTTTTTAACGATATTCGTTTTGAGTTTGTGTTACATTCGGTTTGGCCCTAGAACCGCAAGTTCGGCTGATTTTGATGTAACGTCTTATGGTGCAAAAGGAGATGGGAATACAGACGACTCCGAGGTGCATGAATCATGCAAGCGAATCTCGAACCAATATGCTGGTTTCTAATTATGTTCATCGTTGCAGGCGTTCGTTCAAGCATGGGCTGATTTACGTAAAGATGAGTCACCAGACCCGACATTGGTCGTACCTTCAGGGATGACCTTTTTGATAAGCCCGGTGGCATTCAAAGGCCCGTGTAACTTTCCTACCATACATATTAAGGTAAAATTAGACTACAAAGTGTTGGATTCCTAAATCAAACCAATATATATATATATATATATATATATATATATAGATGAGTGATCAAATGAAAACCGCCCTCATTTGTGTAAACCGTGCAAACCACCTTCATCCGTCGATTTTATTGTTTAATCTTATGATTTTTTTTTCAAGAAATTGTTTAATCTTGTGAAATTGTGTCATATAATATTTTTTTTGATGAAGTTGTTTCATATATGGTTGTGAAATTGTTTCATATAATACTTAATGAAACTGTTTCATGTATTTATCTAAAATTAATGAAACTGTTTCATATATTTCTTTAAAATTAAAATAATGAAGATGATAATATCTATGATTAGCACCCTCCACAATAAAAATGATTAATCAACCTCTCATAATTACAAAAAAATGAACAAAAGGAAAATATATGATTGGTTGAATGCGGTTTGCACGGTTTGTACAAATTGAGTGGTTTGCATTTGATCGCTCCCCTATATATATATATATATATATGTATGAATCTTTCATTTCTCTATAAGAGCTCTATTAAGTAGGGATGTTGGAATTCAAATCGGCTAGTCACAGACTATGAAATCTCTCTATATCTAGAGAGAGTAAGTGAGGTGAAAATTAAAAACTGAGAAACACCTTAATAACCATTCATCTGTATGGTATGATGGTGGTACGAAGGTTTTCACATATCCTAACACGATGTCTTGACTAAATGTATGTAGCTTTTGGGCGACCTGACTGCACCCAAGACATTGGATGGATGGAATGGTTGTACCGAGAAACAGTATTGGATACATTTCTCATCGGTGAAAGGACTCATGATCGATGGACCTGGGCAATTTGATGGCCAGGGCTCGATCTGGTGGGGAAACGATGAGGTTAAGTTTCTGAATCAAGCTACAGTTCAATATATATATATCGAACAGCATTAAAAGCTGCAGACTAAATTGATTTTGTTTTTGCAGGCATCAACCGAAACCTGCCATCGCCCATCGGTAAGATGTGCAGTTTTTACGTTAAAGCATTAGAATGGATCTCGACGTATATTCAGAAAACTAACTTATAAACATGAATAATTTAGGCTTTACATTTTCATGCCTGTGATGGCCTTCGGCTGAAAGGTACAACACACATTAACAGCCCGAAGCTGCATATAAGCATTAACGGTTGCCAAGACGTAGACGTTGGAGATCTCCGAATATCAGCCCCCAAAGACAGCCCCAATACGGATGGGATTGACATCAATGAATCATCCCATGTTAATATCCATGACTCTAACATTCAAACCGGTATGATACAGATTGTTAGAGTTTCATATTGGCTAGACATAAACGATCGAACACCTTTTTAATGAATCGATGGTTATGATTTATATTTAAACAGGTGATGATTGTGTGGCTATTAACGGTGGCGTCTATGATTTGAACGTAACGGGGGTGTTTTGTGGACCTGGTCACGGCATAAGGTAGTATATATACTAAATTATTGATGCTTTTTAGATCTCTTTTAATTATACAAAATTTCCTTCATTCCATGGATGTGTTCTCTTTCGCAGCATCGGAAGCCTCGGTGAAAAGGGTGGCCACGACACAGTCGAACAAGTACGAGTTGAAAATTGTAACATCACAGGAACACAGAACGGGTTACGTATCAAGACAGTACCGGTAAACTTATATTTAACTTGACGACAACTTAACTTATGATTTTGCTATATCGTTTGGTGTTCACCCGTTTCATGTAGTATGGAACGGGGTACGCAAGGGGGATTACATTTCGGGAAATCCATCTGGTAAACGTTGAGAATCCGATCATAATTGATCAACATTACTGTAGTAATTCTGAAACTGCTGTTTGCCCTTCACCGTAAGTCTTGTAACAACAATTGTTCCTTTGGAGAGAGAGAGAGATATATATATATATATATATATATATTAATTATTAGTAGTATTAATTAATCGTGTTATTTTAGCCATGGGCACCGGCAGTACAAGTGAGTGATGTGAAGTATGAGAATATATATGGGTCTTCAGCAACAGCGCAGGCGATTATTTTTAGTTGCAGCGGGAAGTATAAATGTACCGGAATCCAAACAAACGGAGTTGGAATCACGAGAGACGATGCTTATGCTTACTGCAGAAATGCTGAAGGAAATTTTGTTGATACCAACCCTCATGTTACATGCTATTAGATTAGACCAGATGTTAATTGATTAAGGGGCTATTTGGCAATTGCTGAATGGTTTGATGTAGAATGATTAAGAGGCTCTCATGATATAGTGCAAAATGAAATATAATTGTTTGATAATTATTTACAATGAAATTAAGGCTCTTAATGGTTAAGGGAGATCCATGATACAAAATCATTCAGAGGGTTTTAGAACCATTAAGAGGCAGATTTTTTTTTTTTTGTCAAACAAGATTCAACTCTTAACGATTCAAAGGTTGCCTCCTAATGGAACTATTAAGAGGTAAACAAACAACCCCTAACCCCACATTGGGGGATATATAATGTCCATGAATTGTTAAAGAGTATCATTAATTTAGCAAAGCTAATTAATTACTTAAATGATGATTTTAAATAACCATTACATATAATATGAATAAAAATAAATTTGGTCAAATTTACATATCTTAACTAATAATAATTCTTCAAAAAATTAATAATTAAATTTAATATTTTATTAAAAATATTTATAGAAGTTTTATTATTTACTATAAAAGAAATATAACATTAATATTTATGTAATTTACAAAAAACAATCTTTTTAATTGTTCTTTCTTTTGAGAACTAAATATATTAAATAGTAATAAGTGCAATAACAGTACAAAATAGTTTATGTGATTAATGATAATTATAACTAATTAATTATTAATATCAATAATAATTTACAATTAAATTAACATTAATTAATAACTAATAAATATTTATTAATAATTAATAGTAATAAATATTAATTAATATTAATCAAGATATAATTAAAAAAAAGTGACAAAAAACTCAAGTAACTACTGAAACATTATTCTAAGTAACGTTTTAATAAATTAATTTATCAGCTAACTTTTGCCAATCAAAATGGGATTTTTTTTTAAAAAAAAACCCTGAAAACAAGCTATGTTATATTTGTCAAGCATGACCATAATCTACGATTAATCTAAAAATTATACATTATTATTTTATAATGATCTTTTGATTATTAAATAAAACATTTATGATTTCATTTTAATTAATAAAAAAATACTAATATAAGTGTGTTGCTATATTTTGATAAAAAGAAAGTATTAGAAATAATATAATGATTTATAGCTTAAGAATTTATAATTTGATAAATAAAATAATTATATATATAGATATATATAATTAGTATTTTAACCAATCTCATCCATCCAAAATATATTCAGCACACCGTGCTCAATTCCACTCACCACAACTTCCCTAAATCTGTTGGCCACCAACCATGAGTCCATCAACACCAGGGGCGGATGTACCTTGTAAAAGGTGGGGGGAAAGGCCCCCACTAAAAAATTAAAAAAAATGAATTTTCTAAGGGTAAAAGTTGTTTTTTTTTTACTTTTTACCATGGTTTTCCTTCGTAATTTCTTGTTAAGCCCCACCAACTAAAGAAAGTATATTGAAATCAATCAAAAAACTGAAAAGTTCCTCGAAATTGATAAAAAAAACCCTTAAAAATCTCTCGAAATAATCCAAAAAACTTCAAAAATCTTTTGGAATGATGGAATAAGGCTAAAAACACATCGGACGACTTTGTGGGCGTTTAAGCTACCTTAAAGGTGCCCCCACTAGACCAAAATCCTGGATCCGCCACTGATCAACACCATCTTTGACCGGCCACCTCAAGCTTGAGATCCCTAGCGACTCACCTCGATTATTCTTTGAAACCCAGTGTCCCAAGACCTCGCCTCACCTTCAACCTCCCTCAACAACTGGTTTTATCTGCCTCCCAACCTCACATCCCTCATTCTCTGGAAACGCAAAACCAGACTCACCTCTCTTCTTAGTGAACCCCTATCCACCTCCTTGTTTCACCGGTGAACAACTACTACCCTTTTTTTAGCAAAACCCCTAAACCATTTTGTTTCTCCGTGAGCTCAACTACAAACAAGGTGAAACATATCTGATTTCAACAGTGGAGGATCTTATAAGTCAATTTAAGGTTTCAAGTTCACCTTTTATGGATATAAACGAAGGTTCAATATTTTTACTCCAATTAGGGTCATTGATCAAATGGGATTTTCGATAAGGTGGTACAATGGTTGGGATTTTCGAATAAAATAACTTGAGGTGCAAATAAGTGAACATTTTGTACTATCGAGGCATAAGGTTTGATTTTGATTTTGAGGTCTGGTTTGATTTTGATTTTGGGTTTAATTATGAGTTTTTGGTGTGTTTGTGTGTGTTATGGTGTGTGGTGGTCGGAAAAGATGACCGTAGAAAGGTGTTTGGCCGGAGAAGATGAAGAGGGACGAGAATGTACGGTGGTCTTGTTTCTAAATGAAGAGGGAGAGAGGGAAGATATATATTTTTGATTTATTTTGATGAATAAGAAAAAAAAAATAGTAAAAGACTAAAATATTCCTCATTTAAAAAGCATTTTAACTGGTATTAATGATAAGGACCAATGTGTTACGAAAACGAACTTTAAGGTTTATCTTGTAATAAACCCACGATATTTTTGGAAATCTCAAGACCAAATCCATTAATTATTCTGAATTTTAATATAAAGTGTGTATGCAGTAATTTATATTTAATTTATTTTCTTAAAATATCTTAGTATATAATTATATAACTTATTACTACATACTTTAATTAAAGCTTTATGTTTAATCTCAATAAACTGGTAAATACATTTAAATATAAAATTAATCATTGAGTTTCACTAATACGAATATGTCAGTATTTACAAATCAGAAATATTTAAATTGTAATAAAAAAAATTTGATTTCAGGAAGTTATTATAAAAAATAAAAATAAATAAATAATATTTAATTTGATATCATTATTAATATATTTTTTCAAATATTTAAAACATATTCAAATATCACTTATAGTTTATATTTTATTTAAACATTAATTCCAAGTTATTTTTTGTAACAAAAATGATTTTCCACTCTAAAGTTAAAATAAACACCATCATCTCACATACCTCATGGGTATAAAAGTACAAAATATAATGCATTAATGATGTGAAATCTATAGTATTTTATAAACTATATTTATTAAAAGTCTTAAAAATAATTTTTAAGGCATAAAGTACTATATATTTATACACGAAGTCCTAAAAGTCTTAAAAATAATTCATAACGTATTAAATACTACCACTTTATGCATTCAGTTTTAAAATCTTTTAATCTACAATTAAAATAACATATAGTACAAGTTACCAATGCACATTATTACCTTTTTTTTCATGTTCCTAATATGCTTTGGACACATTTCACGCTCTCATACCTCTCTGTCTTCTCCTCGTCCCCCAAGATGAATTTTGTACTTTTTAATGAATAATTGCACTCATTTTTAGTTGTAAGCTTATTAGAATATTTGACATCCCGCCGTATTACACGAGTACACAACTAGTCTTTTATAAAATTAAAATTGTAATCGAATTTTAAGGAATACATGTGTTTTGTGAAGTTATTATTGGTTATTAATTTTAACGATTGATGACCCAAAGTCAAATGGATTTTTATATACATCAAAAACAATATTTTAAGTTCAATATGTAGATATTTTATATATACAATATATCATTAAATATTATAATTAATTATATAAATCTTCTTAATTAATTATAATTTATATTTTTTACATATATATATATGCATATAGAATTTAGTATTCTCTGTCTATATATATCGAAATCAAAGAGCGGAGACATTCAGATATAAACAAAAGATAACAATATAATTGTTGCTTGCTCCGGTTACTTCCAAGAAATGGTAAAATGTAGTTCTATCGTCAAAATATCGATGTCAGATTAACAACATTTACTGTAGACGTTTTTTTTTTTTTTTTTGTTTACAAGGTTTCCAGATTGTGGTGCTTTTGAGTTTTTGTTACATTTCATTTTTTTGGAAAACAACAAATGCAGGCACTTATGATGTGACATCGTATGGTGCAAAGGGTGATGGAGAGACGGATGACTCCAATGTAAGTAAATCATATTCGTAGGTTTTAGAAGAATAAAGAAGAGTTTGAATAATGAGTAATTACAATTTATATGTAAACTCTTCTGTTGCATTTAATCCTTTGGAGAGTAGGGTAAATGAGTTGGTTGATTTAACGTATCAAATATTTTAAAACAATTTTTCGTTAGCCGATCCGGTGAGGAAACCTGCTCATCCGACCTGATCGAGGATGAGGATTTCCTACTAAAACGGATTCCGGAGGCCTAGGTCGGGGATTCCCGACAGACTTAACTCGAGGTTGGGACCGGAGCCGAATAGCGTATCCCCCGACATGTCCCATACATGGTATATAATTTTATTAATATATATATATATATATATAATCTATTTTCTAAAATTAAGTCTTAACTGGAGATCGGGGTTTGACCAAAAAATAAATCGTAAATCGCTCTTTTTTGTTATTAGTTTTATTGGGTATTTTTCCTATTAATAAGTCTCGACTTTTATCTTCTAGTTGAACATGTTTTTCAGTTGATTATCAGTTATTTTTATAAGGTCAAACGTATTAATAAGTTGTATGCTTATAAATGGTATATATTATGATGAAAATACTATATAAATATACTTGCACGCAAATATATACTTTTGATTGAAATTTTGAAAATCAAGTCAAATAATTGAACTTTTGATATAATTTGTTTGATTAAAAAATTAATTTAGATTTTGTTTTAAATTGATATAAATTTATGCGTTCTTAAAACTTAATTCGTTCATATTAAAAGTGTAATGCAAGTTTTTAAAAGCATTTAACCTTCCATTCTTATTGTTTATAAAGAGGTCAAATATTAATGTTATAAAAACTAAAAGATTTGAATGTATTATCAATTTTTATATAATATTTTAATGCTTGTATTTTTTAAAAAGTAGGAATTCTGATTGACAAAATAAAAACCATTTTATAATATAGTATAGATATGTAAGTTTTTATATTAAATTTTAAAAATTAAGATAAATAATATAATTTAGAAAGGTAACACCATATAAAGTCAGGTTCGGAGGGAAATCGAAAAAAATGAAAAACTGAGAAACACATTTTAACAGTTCATCTGCATGGTATGTAAATGTGTATATAAATATTAGTCGAATCTTTTATGAAATGGATGGAGTAACAAAAAATATAGGTAGAAGGGCTATTTTAATAGCAGAGTCCAAAATGCCATTAAAGCGGTACGTGAGTTGAGTTTAGAACGTCGTGAGACTCGATCCTTTGGCTTAGGATTAGTCCCTTTGATATCTCGATGGAGATATTTTTAGAAATTGGATGCAGTTACTAATTCATGATCTGGTATGGACAGAATGAAAACTTTATTCATTTGGACGTCATGTATATGTGCATAGAGGTGATTTGTATTTATATGCATATGTGCATACCATTTAGATGAATGGTTATCAGGGTGTTTCTCAGTTTTTTATTTTTTGATTTTTCTCTAAACCTCCCTCCCCCCTCTCTCTCTCTCTCTATGTATGTGTGTTTTGTATCTGTGTGTATTACTTTATTTGTCATAAAAATCATTTAATTACTACATGAGTGAAATAAAAGTATATGGCTATTAATTGAAGTTCCAAAACGTGTATACAGACAAAATAATAAAAGATTTTAAACAATTTAAATCGAATATTATATAATGTTTATCAGTCTCTAATTTAGTTTCAATAATATATATGGTTGGGTTCAAACGAGAACATAATAAAAAAAATATGAAAACGCCTATACCACATTTGATTTCAATGTAAAATCATATACGTGATTACATAATATGGTCAATGCAATGATGTGCAAAGGTACTTGCCTATGATGCAACCAATTAACATGTGATTTCAGTGTAAAATCACATATAATATAAGTTTTCTCATGTTTTCTTTTGAAGCCCCCTTTATATATGTATGTGTGTGCGTGTGTGTGTGTGTATATATATATATTATATATATTCAGTAAAAACCCAACTAAGTGTTTTCTTAAATTATATCCATAATGCAGGCTTTTGTTCAAGCATGGGTGGATGTATGTAGAGATAACTCTAACCCGACATAGATCATACCTTCACGAAGGACGTTTTTAACAAGTTGTTTGTCATTTAACGGTCCATGTAGCTCTTCTACAGTTTATATTAAGGTAAAACCATACTCAAATCTATCAGAATTTTGTAATAAATTATATTTTAAATTCTAAGTTCTATTTATGTTGAACGTTTTATTAAATGTGATTGAAGTTTTCAACGATGACGATTGATTAAATATTTTTTTTACGGTGTGCAAAGCTTTTGGGCGATATTACCACACCCAAGACCATCCAAGGATGGAATGGTTGTGATGTCAATGGGCAGTTGATAATTTTTGGATATGTACAAGGACTCACCATCGCTGGACTTGGAAAATTTGATGGCCAAGGTTCCATCTGGTGGCCGAGAGGTGCACACGTTAAGTTTCTCAACCAAACCATTATCTTTTTCTTTTGGTCTAGTAATTGATTGGTTCTTTAATATATTTGTTTTGCTTAATTGTTTTTTGCAGTTGATGGGTCCAGTCTGCAATTGCCCATCGGTACGTATGATTTGTCATTTAAGTTGAATATTATAACTAAACACAAATACGACCAAAACTTGCTTTGGAAAATGAGATATGCTAGATTTGTTTGTTTTGATTTAGTATTTTACGAACATTAATCTGAACGTCAACTATTTTTTAGATGTTACGCTTTCATGCTTGTAACGGGCTTCGTCTGAGAGGTACAAAACACATAAACAGCCCAAACAGCCATATTCACATCAATGGTTGTCAAGATGTACAAATCGGACATCTTCGAATTTCAGCACCTGCAAATAGCCCGAATACTGATGGAATCGACATCAGTTCCTCATCACATGTTATCATCCATGACTCTACGATTCAAACCGGTATGACATAACTTACTACAAAGTTAACCTAATATCTTTTGTAGATAATACCCGACCAAACAACCCAATGGATCTCACACGAAATGGAGACTTATCGGGATGGTAAATATAGCCAACCTTTCTTTTACCACAAGCGGTAAAAAAAGGTTGTAATATAATGTGTAAATATTTTGATGTATTAGTTTTTTGTTTCTGAAAAAAAAAACAGGTGATGACTGTGTGGCTATTAATGGTGGCACTTACGATATCAATGTAAGAACCTGGTCATGGCATAAGGTAGAGCCTCTTTGAATCTTTTCTTTTAAAAAACGGTTCCTACGTTATATACATTTTTTATTAAAAAAATTGTATAACTAACGTGGGAGTTTAACACATTTGATGCTCTTTAAACCCCTCCCATCAGTATCCTTCACTCGATTGACTTTGTTTTGACAGCATAGGGAGCCTTGGAGGGGGCGGTACTTTTGCAGCAGTCGAACAAATACATATACAAAATTGTAATATCACTGGAGCGCAATACGGCTTACGAATCAAGACAGTACCTGTAAGATTATATCCAACTTGACTTCAATCTATGAACTTTTACTATAAATTATAAAAGACAATGGTTTTTGGTACCTCTGCAGTATGGAAAAGGGTATGCTCGAGGGATTGTATATCAGAATATTCATCTCAAAAATGTTGGAAATCCGATTATAATTGATCAACATTATTGCCTTAGTTCGGAAAATCATTATTGCCCTATACCGGTAAGCCTTTAACAATCACATTGTTGATCAATGTTAGTGTATCTTAGTGTCTAATACCTGGATTTGGATCAGCCAACGGCAGGAGCAGTACATGTGAGTAATGTAACGTATACAAATATATACGGGTCTTCGGCAACGAAGCAAGCAATTACTTTTGATTGTAGCGAGATGGTTAAGTGTACTGGGATCCGAACCAACAGAGTCCACATCACTGGAGAAGAAGTTGTTACTTACTGCGCTAATGCTAAAGGAAATTTTATTAAAACCACCCCTCATATTACTTGCAATTAACTTCTACTTGTTTCCCCAACCCCCC